GTGCTTGAGTAACTTCTTGTGAGTGGAAGGAGAAGGGGGTGGGAGTGGAGGGGACCTCCTAGTTTAGGGAAGCACGTATGTGCCTGTGCGTTAGTAAGCCTAGCAACAGGAAGCTGCCATTCGTTAGTGAGATGCCTCTTCTGAATGTTTTCTTTCTGTGGGTTCTAATGTCAGTATTTATTATAGGAAGGGAGTGTGAGTGTTGATTGTTTCACATGTTGTTAACCAGGACCTTGTTTGGTAGGGTGCTGTGTAGTTGTCAGTGGTGTTAGTTAGTGCAGGTTGATAAGGCTCTGCTTTGTTGGAAAGTATTTGCTTGTTTTACTAACCAACAATTTGGGATTTGGAAAAGTTAAATTGGTTCATTGCGTGTCATTGTGAAAATACTAAGGTAATCCATAAAAATCATTGGGAAAATAAAATATCTTCTCCCTAAGAGCATTGTTTCTTTAAAGCTAAAGTGTTCACAACCAAAGAGTTGACACATCCTTTCCCTGGTATATGTATGGTAGCAGTTTTACAAGCTTGTCAACTCTTAATATTATATGCAACTTTTCCGGTGGAAAGCATACTGCAAATATACATGCCTCCAGCAAATCTTGCATTTATTGTTACTTGAATGCCTGTATGCACTAAAGGAATTCAGTTTGATGGTCTATCAAAGCCATTTATTTTGTATCTTACTTTTCCTGAAAATATTCACATGGGTTTTAAAATAACAGTACTTCCTGTTTATTAGAATCATACGAGAGTAAGTACTTGCAAGAACATGTTGTAATGTTCACAAATTATCCTCTTTTATTCCAAAGAGGAGGCGCAGTAGTATAAATTGCTTTCCTCAGACACTGATTATCCTTTACCTTGTAAAATACAATGTTCATAGATGTAGACACATACTAAATGTCAGTTTGATACAAAGTTTGATGGTTTTGATTAGTTAAATAGGAAGAATTGATTACAGGTTGGCTTTTTAGACATAAGTAGAAAGTTTGAGATAGCTTTTAGAAAAATGCATCTGACTATATCTAGATTACAGGAGCAAACATGTCATAGTGCTGTTTTGTACTCTGGTGCTGCATTGTGTGGAACCAGTATTTCAGTGGTGTAATATTGCAAATTAAAACAATTAAGGCTAGAAGTACAAGTTTCTGACTTGTTCAGTGTTCCTTTTACACTAGAAACTACACTAAATAAAACTCCATTTTTTTCCTCTCCCTTCAGAGTTCACAATGACGAATGAAGAACCTCTCCCAAAGAAGGTATGTGTTTTTAAAATTACTTGTGGCTTCACTCTTCCTGGTTATCGGGACAGCTTGATAAGTTATACTTTTCTTTTTGCATCATAGGTTCGCCTTAGTGAAGCAGATTTTAAGGTTTTACCTAGAGATGAGCTTATCCTAAGGTAATGTAAAAAGTGTTTTTTCTATCTCAACATTTTAGTGAGCTTCCAGTGGAAGATGTGTGAATTTACTCTTCCATTGTCTTTTAACATCCTTGTTCTGAAAAACAGTTTTACTTGTCTCATGATGCATCTCTTCTGTAAAGTTCTCCTCTTGTCTCAAGTATTTTTATTTGTAGTTTGGGAGGGAACACTTTTTCACAAGAGGCAAAATCTTTGCTGGTAGTTTGTAAAACATGAGTGTGAGTGGATTTTTTTATTCACTCATAACTACAGAAGATACAATTGCTTACATTCCTTGATAGATAGTAAGTTATTTTAAACATCGGAAAAAATGTCAACTCTTTACTTCTCTAGTCCTTTTTACATTTAATCAGTCCATGCAGTTGTCTTCTCAGCATATCTGGATATTAACAGAAAAATGTTACTGAGGTTTTCATCACCTAGAACTTTGATAAGGAAGAACCTGACCATCTTTTCAGTTTAGAAAGTGTCCATGTAACCATGGAAACAATTGCAGGAAATTCTGTTGCACAGACCACCTGCTTAAAGAAACCACCCCAATCCACTTGTCTCTGTATGCCTGAATTTCCAGATTTGTAAACCAGGAGCTATCCAAATGAGCCATCTGTGGGGTATTTATCTGTTGGAGTAGTCTGTGCATTTTGGTAAACATTAGTTCGTGGCTTCTTGTACACCGAGTTATTAGCATTTATTAGGGTTTCAAGGTAAATTTTGCTGGTTCATAGAACAAAGACTAAACTGTGTAGCAACACAGGGTTGCATATACAACACTTTGTATATGTGGTGATCAACTACCCTCCCTTCTGGACATGCTATCCTGCCAGCTACTTTTGGGTTTACAGTCTTTTCCAGGGAGTAAACACAGTCTGTCTCCATATATTTAAAACTGGTTTCTGTCTGCCTCTGAGTATCCAGACTTTTGGGTTGTAAAGAAAAATGTATTTAAACAGAAAAAGTGCTTCTTTCATAAGTGGTTTTGGCCTTGTGATCCTTTTTATAAAAGTTTCTATACTCAGAATTTGGCAGTAGTAAACTCGTAAGTCTCTGAAGCTGTGCCCTTACTTCCTGCAATAAAATTCATGTGAAAATATCAAAGCATAGATTCTGTGATGCTTTCTAACTGATAATGTGAAAACAAAAAATGTCTGTCAGTTGTAATCAGTTTCTGTAACTTGCAATGATTAATTGCTATGATAGAAGGGATGAATTTCTAGCACATATTCAGGAGAGAATGGGGTGTAATACACCCAAGGAGGTAAAGTATGCCAGCAGCTCACCTGCTGAAGAGGAAGAAGGGAATTTGCTGATGACAGCTGTGTTGCTATTGAATAATCATCTTAGTGTGAATAAAAACTGACATGCTCTCAAAAAGAGCACTTGATGGATTTAAGGAGAATAACTCCTCAATATACCCAGAAAAGGAAATTTAAATTGCATTTTGGTCATGTCCATTTTACTAGTTTGCATTGATCAGTCTTGAAAACACTTTTTTTCTGTGGGGGCAGATTTGATGGATTTCTAGTAAGTTCACCTCTAATTGCGATTTCACATAAAACTAACAATTATTACACTAACTGCTGGCTTCATTTGTAGGCTGGAACGAAATATTATTACACATATTTTAGTGAATGTCATTTCTATTACTTTGAGACATAGAAAAGCATGTGTTGACCTCTAGATTGTCTTAAGATTTGGAATGTATTTTTTTGGTCCATGCCTCGGTGAGGCAAATGCTTTTTGAGACAGACGTGTAATGATCTTTTAGGCAGTAAATCACCATTGCTGTACAGTTACAGTGATGAAATACATAGGTAGAAAAGATTATTCTCTTTTTTTGTCAGTTTCTGTGCCACAAGTCCAAATTTTACTGTTCTTTTCCATGAAATACATAATTCAGGTTTGCTCATCTTAACTTTTGTTGACAAAATATGAGCAGGACTAACACAGAGGCTTTAGATCTGACCTTGAATTTTTGCTTGTCTCATGACTTACTGCTGTGGACTCATCTTAAACTTTCCCCACTCTAATGCAGCAGTTACTTAGCTTGACTGTAGGACCTTCTGAGAGAAAGAAGAGCCAGGAGCATGGTAAAGAAATACTCTGTGGATCATAGCTAAAAATCTGATCAGTATTGCCCTGATCATTTAGCTGAGCAATTAGTTGGTAAAACACTGAAGCACTCCAATATACACAAGCATTTCTGAGAAAATACAGTGCTTTTACTAAACTTCAGTCGACAGGGACTTAGAGCCAGTCATTTTTGGAATGGCCTGGGTACAGTGTGTGTCTTAACCCCTAATTGCTTATCATTTACTGCAAACCCCAAAGCTCAGCATAAAGTATGGGTGCTTCAAGAAGAAGTATTTAGGACTTTGTCGCTTCAAATTACTTCTATAAAGACTGCTTAGTATTTTTAGAGAATGAAGGGAATTAAGTAACTGACAATGCTGCTCAGTTACCTTCCAGTTCTTGTGAGACTTTAAGTGATCCCTTGAGTGCAAAACAGGTTAAAAAGTATCTTCCTTGTTCTCCTGTCTGTTTTTGAATGCCTTTCCAAGTAGCACATCTTCAGGTTATTAATTTTGAACCATCGGATTATGAACATAAACTTCCATATTGAGTGGAAAGCAAACTGATGGGAGAAAAAAAATCTAGCTTTTAGCCTTTGTCATTCTTCTGCCACTCACATTCACTGATGAGCTGCTTTAGTCTGCTACAGGTGTGCTGGAGGGCATGATCTGGGGCAAGGAAGTCAAGGGTCTGGTTATGTTCCCTCCCAAGATCTTACCCATTCCTGGCCCACTGGTGAGGGGGGAATGCTAGAAAATGTGCATTGATGATGCATGAGCACTTCTAGCAGTGGCTGAGACACTGGTGTGTTACCTACACCATTCTAGCTCTGAGTGCAAAGCACAGCACTACAAGGGCTGCTGTGGGGAAAATTATCTCCATCTCTGCCAGACCCAGTACAAGTTGCTTCAACTGCAAGGGTTACCACGTTTTTGACAAAATGCCAGATCTGAATAGTTACGTTTTCTAGAAGTGTTGGTAGGCATAAGACTTGAAATCCATGACATGGCCTAGTGCCATCTAGATTTTCTTTTCCAGGAGTTTAGTTCTTGCCTAAATACTAGCAGTTGTTGAGAGGTGACTTAGAGTCTACAACATTTTTGGTGACCGTGGGCTACGTGGTTTGCTTGTGGGTGGTTATTTTGGTTTTGTTTTGGTTTTTTTTTCAGTTAATGGTCTGGCACATCTACTTAACTTGTGTTTCATGTCCTCAATATGCTTCCTTTGTATAGTGCTCCTGTTGAGGGAGTGTGAGGGTGTCATGATTTTGATAGAATTACTGGGTTTGGGCTGTGAGCTATAACTTAAAAGTCAAGTAGTCCTGTATATTTGAAGACCAACTGTTTACTGCATGTGATTTTCTAATGTAAAATTAGGTTATCTCTTTCTAGATTAGCTGTTCAGTAGACCATTTCAGTTTTACTTCTGGGAGATGTAATCTCCTGAACTAACATAGAATTTTAAATGGCCAAATTTAAGGGTTAAGTATGAATACCACTGCTCTCTTTTACAGAGCTTTGAGAGTTTGTTCATGCTGTTGCCATGTTTAGCTTAAGTGTTGTAAAAGTTTTGTTGTTGCTTGAAGGAAGAGGTCTCATACTTCCTTTTCCATAATGTGATCTTGCTTGCTGTTACAGATCCCTGATGCTTTAGGTCCTTTAATGTGCTGTTTGAATTCACTAAATGGTCCAGATTACCTTGAGGTAGATTTTATAGTTTCCATTAAAGTAGTAGTGTAGGTTACAGAGTTCAAATAGAGCAGTTGCGATGAATCTGGCATAAAATACGTCTCAGGGAGAGAGGGTAATTGGGAGGAGGGAACAAACACCTTTTTCTGTAGTGATAAGCTGCTACATTAATTTCCTTTAAAGTGTGCAGTTGTACCATCATGGGGAACACGCAGTTAGGTACAGAGTGCTACTTTGAAATCCCAAAACACTGCTGTGAACTTTTTTTCATAAAGTACTTCATGCTAAACTTTTCATCTGTAAATCATTTGGATATTTGCTACTGATTTGGTAGTTTGTATAAAATTCAATGCTGTTTTTAAGTGATGTTTTTTGACTGTGGGTGAATTGCCTAAATAACATGTTTTCAAAGAGTTATTAAACTGTTAGGCTTATGGATATGAATATAATCAGGGAATGGTCTTAACCTGAATGAGCTGATACAACGCTTAACCTAGGCTGCTATTTCTGGTGTTATAATAACACTTTTGCTTGTCCTGTTCACTTGGTAACATAGTTAGTGTTGTATTTGTATCACAGTTTGTTACAGAATTTTGTTTGAATTGCTCTATGAGAATAAGATGTATATAGGGTACTTCACAAAGATCACAAAATACGTAGTGTTTGATCCTAGTATTTGTCTAAATAGTGATTTTTAAGATGTCAATTTCATGTGTTGTAATGCACAGCTACCATTTTATTCCTCTGAGATGCAAAGCAGATTGAACTATTTCCACCATTAAAAGCTCTTTTTTTGAAACTGGAATTGTCTTTTGTGCAGCTGTGTAATTCCATCCTGATGTTTTCTGATTATGGTATCAGTGTGAGCTCTGAAAGCTTAGGAATGAGATGCCTTCATTTAGTAAACAGAACTTCAGAAAATTCTTTTTTTTTCTCTTTGTATCTGCAACAGGTGGAAACAATATGAAGCATACGTGCAAGCTCTGGAGGGCAAGTACACAGACCTTAATTGTAAGTTAGCTGGGTTTCAAAATGGTGCAAATTATCAGAATGTATAAAGCAGAGTGATCAAGTAATATATGTGCTTTCTAAAGGTCCTAGAAATGAGAGATAATGATCTGTTATGTCAGTTACTTGTCAGGAAAAGAGAGCCTGTTTTTTCTACATATCTAAGTTTTCAGTCTCTCACAGCTTTCTTACCAACTACTTTTGCAGTTGTAAATTTATCCCATCTAAAAAGTCTTTATTTTTGCATCTATAGGACACAGACTGTGGGCAAGGGAAAGCTTCAAAGCATAACCCCATAAATAGGTGTACTTTCAGAACTTTACCATTAGAAAAGGAAACTTTATCTACCAGAATACTCCAGGAATGTCTGTGCCTTTGGTAATATTCCAGGACTATAAGACTGGGAGGGGAAATAGTGCTTAGAGGTAAATGTGTAAAATGAGTCCCCAAGGATTATTTGATCTGATCAGGCAAATTTGATTGTCATTCTTATATGGTCATTAAAACTTGAACTTTGGAAGATAATATGGGGAAAATACCCTACTCTGAAATGAGAAAATATGAATACATTCTGGGAGTGACTGAACAGCCCATCCAAAGTCACTTTCAAAAGTTATGTTGGCAGCTAGAGATGGTATATTTCCTGTTTTCACCTTTTCAGTCTGTCCTGAAGACCAAGACACAGTCTAAATACTTAGAGATATAGTACCACTGAGTTTGAAGGGTATTTTTCTGTCAGTCCAAATGGATGTCTTCTCTTTTGCTGTTGTTACATCCTTCTACTGCTGTCTCATAATGTTTTGGGTTTTGGAGAGACTAAAATATAGCAAATGTGGAAACAGGTGATTCCATTCACATCTGAGACTGTCTAAACATGGATAAATAAGTTGTTTCAACATTCCTAGTTTCTTGATCTTGGATACAGTACAGGCTGTAGTAATCAGTGTTAATGAATTATCTGTCAAGATTTATTTAGAAACCATTGTCCTGAAGCAATTTGTGATGTTCAGGTTATATTCATGTCTGATTATTCTCAAGAAATTAGAAAAAAAAATGAAAATCTATATTATTAAAATTTTTCATTGTTTTCCTTGTGACAAGTAGCAGAGTGAATGTATACAGTTGGTATCAGGTTACTTGCATGTGTTTTTGAGTAATTTGGAAATGTGCTGCCTTTTATGTATTTCTTATATAAACTTTCATAAATGTCCATGGATCAGAATTCTAGTTGTGACAGAATGTTCTCAAATGTATTACTGTTTGCTCATGGAGTGTTGAGATCAGTTTGAGGATTGCTATAAACAGCACTGTTTTACAGACTGCAGATTGGTTTTTGTGAGAGTACAGACTTTATTCCTCCACCACCCTGGCCTCAGCTTTTCTTATGTGTATCTGGGCAGTTCCAGCTTCCCAAGTTTCAGACTGCAGGTTGTAATAATATTTGGTTAAGCAAGCAGTTTAAAAGTGATTTCCTATATAAATATCTTCAAAATTTTAGTAAGTCTTAAAGAAGGACCAGGAATATGGATTTAAAGCCACTTGTTGTCAAGCTTTTCTAATACTTGATGATACTTTGTTTTGTTTATGCTGGTTATAAACATGACTGTAAAAGGTGTGGCTGTTTGACTTCTATTTATAAATTTGGTTTTTAGATTCTTTTTGCTATCTTTTAAAAGCTTCCTATAAAAGGGTACACTAAAACATACTTTCTGTATGTTCTTGCACGTGTTAGCTAATGATGTGACGGGGCTGAGAGAATCTGAAGAGAAGTTGAAACAGCAACAGCAAGAGTCTGCCCGAAGAGAAAATATTCTGGTGATGAGGCTGGCAACTAAGGAACAGGAGATGCAAGAGTGTACTGTAAGTATTTAGAAAGGGATAAGTGTGTTCAGACAGTTGCAGCAGTATCAGCTGTTGAGCCAGTGCCGATGAGCTGTGTTTTTTTGTATCTACACCATTACATTTCTGTTTAAAGACATGGCAGGGTACTTTAGCTTCCATTGAATTAATAAAGATCACTTCTTAAAGTTTGGGGATTTTTTAATATTAGTTACTTCTGTTGATTTTTCAGTACCAGTTGTGATTGGAAGGGCTTTTACTTCAAGCTAATTCTTGCATATATTCTCTTTTAGCATTTATCTACGGTATATCTCTACTAAAATGTTACTTCTGAGTGTCATTATAGAGTCAGGAACAAATAAAAATGTAAGGATATGACTGAGTTTACTTGGTTCCATTTAGGAGGTTTTAGGCGGATACTTACATCGCCTTTGGATAACAAGGTATTTGTAAGCTGTCTGGATAGGTGAAGTTGCTACTTTTGAACTTTGGCAGATCTGCTTAATTTGTAGTGTTCTGGTTACGTATTTTGTTGATCTTTATTTATTCTTTATTTCTGGCCGTTTTTTGTGAATTTTACATCTGTATTTAGTTTTGGTTTCTTGGAAACTGTCTCATTTTGGATTACCTTAATGTAATTTTCATTCTGCTAGAATCTGACAGTTTCTGAGAGAATTGTAAAAAGCTTATTGCTAGTTTTGGTAATATACTCCTCAGAGCTTCTCGTATGAAAAATACAGACTCTGTGCAGAACTAATAACTAGTGTTGTAGCTTTCCTTTGCTTTTTAAATCTTCCTTTCTTTTTTACCTGGAGTTTTTCAGAGCTGTCAGGTATAGGTATAGTTGTATGACTGAGCTCTGTACACAGTACTTGCACTGTTCTTAAGACCATAAGATCACTTTAGTTCACAGTAAATAGTATTATAAACAGGAAAAAAATAAAGGGGATTATGCGTACTTTGCAGTGGCAAAAAATGAAGCCCAGAATTGCCGAGTTTGTCAGAGACTTGCAGTTTCTAGTCCAGCCTGCCTGTTCACAGCAAGGTCTGTTGGACCAGGTTACTCAGGACAGTGCACTATTGGCTTTTAAGCATCTCCTAAAATGGAGACTCCAAAATTCTGTGGTGACCTGTGCCAGTGTTGAACTGCTGACGCGGTAGAATGTGTTCCCTTATTGTTTAAGTGGAATTCCCTGTGCTTCAGTTTGTGCCCATCACCTTCTGTGCTTTCAGTGGGCATCACTGGCTTTGCTTGCTTTACTCCCCATCAGGTATTTATGCACATCCCTAACATCCTCCGAGCCTTCTCCTGACTGAGCAGCCCTAACACTCAGCCTCTGCTTGTGTGTCACATGCTCCAACCCCTTAATCAGCCTCATGGCCCTTCACTGGCCTCACCCTCATATATCTGTGTCTTTCTTGTGCGGGGGTGTCCAGATAGGGACTTAGTACCCCAGATACCTCACCAGTGCTAAGTAAGAGGAAGGATCTCCTCCCTCAGCCTTGGCAGCACTCCTGTTAATGTGGCCCAGGATGCCAGTGAAGATCTGTACTGCAACACTTACCTAGCTGTGTATTGGTCCTGCTCCAATTGTGAAGTTTTACTGATAAATTCTGCTATGTGGAACAGCAGTAATAACAGGTTATTTTTTTCCTTTTGAACTTCTAAGCATATACCTAAAGCAGTAAGTACTAAAAACAAATAGATAAAAAGAAATGTAAGTTTTTCACCAAAAGCAAATTCGTGTGTACTATATTTTCCTTTCTTCCTCCCTTGAAGTCATAAACTTCAAGTATTTAATGCTTTGAATTTGACAATATCATGAGAACTATAGGGGTTTTTGGGTGCACTTTGTTAGATGTTTATAGCTGCATAATCTTTCCAGAATATTGGTTTAGAAGAACTTCTGAAGAGCTTTGATTTTCAGTGTACTTTAAAAAAGAAAAAAGGGTGGGTAACAACCTGCCAAAAAGAAACAAAAAACAGACAAGTGCCCACACACTCATGTGGCTTAGATTTCTCCTGCTCCTGACTCAAGAATTAAACCAAGGATGTAATCTCCATAGTATATGGAGGTAGGAAGATCCTTGAAAAAGAGGTGTAAAATGGATACACTGGAGGTGTATAAGTGAGACATTTTCACCTTTATATGTTTTGAAGTTTAAAAATGCACATAGTTTTAAGAAGGTGTGAAGGACTAGGCTTTACTAGAGAGTGTTTTTTCCACTACAGTAACAGTAGAAAAATACATCATGTTGGATAAGATGCAAAGCTAAGATACAGGTTGCTTAATCCTGTAGTAAACTATTCATCATGTGATGATGATGAATATTTGACATGCCTGATTTTAATCCATAAAATAATTTTTCCATATTTTTATTCGTTAGTTTTTTTATAGTTCACACTTACATGTAAAGTACATCAGTAACATTTATATGTAAGCCTTCAATGTTCCCTGTCACATTTTGCTCAGAAGGACTGAGCATTTATGGTGTCTAGTTTCTTGAAAACTACAGATGTGTTTTTGGGACATTTTCTTTCAAATTTACCGCTTTCAAATTTAAATGGTTAAAAACTTAATATTGTATCACATTCAGCTGGTAGTAGTTGGAAAATACTGAGTTTTCTGATTACTTGCGTTAGAACACCTTGCTTACTAAAGTACACTAGCTCTGTTTTAAAATAGGGTGTGATGAACTCTATTTTGGTGTTTCAGTTTTCACCCTTTTTTAAAATAGTAGTGTTTTAGTGTGCTTTCAGTTTATTAAAGTCACCAGCTGTCATCTTTAAAGTGTAGGTGTGCATGTCAGAGTAGCAGTAGTGGAATCATTGCCCTTACTCTGTGTTGGTGCTGTTTTTGAAGAGACAAGATGCGAGGGGAGTGTATAACTCCATTCTCTCTAGTGCTCTGTGCTGAGTCTAGCAAGAGAATATATGGATTTCTTCAGAGCCATCAGCTTAGTAAAAGTCTGTGACAGGTACTGCAATGTTTCTCTGTGGTTTTAGGGTTACTAAGGGCTACCTAGAAGTTCAGGCGTTTAACATCTTGTGTGCCTTGTTTTCAGCAGCAGCCTCAAGCTACCTTCCCCCAGCAGGAACAACCCCCTAGAAGAGGTTGCTCCTTTTAGGGAAGTGTGGGTAAGATATTGGCTATGGTTTCTACAATAAAGCTTTATTTCTGGCAGAGGTGATAGTAAAGTTAATGCTACTTCAGGCAAGGGCCTTAACCTCATTCCAGGCTACTGCACAGTTACTGAGAGTCAGTAAGTGGGCAGAAATTTGGAAATACTTGCTGCTCAAATATGTTTTTCATGGAAAAGATCTACAAGAGATGACAGTGGGTGGAACTTTCTGTTGGTGCAGTTGGACTGTAGCACTAGGTAGTCATTACTCTTGTGGCTTAGATTACAGCTCTGTTGTGTTTTTTCTCTTCTTAGTTGTGCACTTCATTCCTTCCTACTCCTTCCTTGTAAGAAGGGTATAATGTTGATCTGACTTAGATTGCTTACACTTCGTCTCAGGCACCTGTAATCTGTTTTGTAAATTCTTCGTGTTTAGAGTCTGTTCTTTGTAGCTGTTTTTGGATGATGATTGCAGCTGAAGGCATGCAACTGTTTCCAAGAATGTGAGAACTAGAGGGATTGAAATTGTTATTGTCTGTCTTTAACTAAAAGATAAAAGTGCACATAAACAAAACCTCACACAGCCTGATGTCCTCTAAATAGACTGCTTTCAGTGCTCTCCTGCATTGGGTTGAAACACAGAGAAAGCTGATAGCAAGATTTTTGTGTTTGTGAAAATTACCTCTACTTGTCTATTTGATGGGCTTTTGAAATATACTAGGTAGTGTATGCTTTCATGTCTGGGAATATGAACAGTCTGTAGGCATTTCAGGTGTTAGAGTGGGCATTCCCTGGGGTTTAGCATTGGACATGACTATTCCTGTATGTTCAGCTGTAGCCTGAAGGCAACAGGCAAACAAACTCTCCTGCTCCCTAACTCTTACCACCTGGAATATCAATGGGAGGTGACTCATACTAGAAAGTGGTTAGAGGGAGCAAGAATGTGAGGTTTGGACCGGCTAAGCAGGATGACAAAATTAGGAAATCTGCAGACAAGGAAAGACATTTGGGCTTGCTTTGGGAGCAGGTCAGACTGGGAGGAGGTTGCTAGGTCTTCAGGGATGAAGAGCCTGGCAGGTGGGAACTCTGGAGTTAACTACTGGAGAAAGCACTTTTGTGGAGGGATTAAAAAAATTTGAGTTGGAAAAAGTATAGAGGAAGATAATGTTGTTGTTTTTTAAGTTTGGGGAGGGAATGAGCAAGGGTTGTTAAGCTTAAATAAGTTCTTTCTACACAATTGCTTTAGAAACGATGAGCTGAAGTCCTGTACAGGTGCCATCTGCTGGGCTTAAGAGTGCGAGCTGGAGAGACACCCATGAGACTGTCAAATAACTGGCACTGCACAGCATTGGCTGGGTCCTCCAGTGTGTTCAAGTGTATTTCTGATGTGACCGAGGAGCAGTGGCAGCAATTCTGTGTGCTAATAATCCAAGGAATCTGTTAAAATTTTTAGATTTAGTGGAAGAGGGAGGAATGTGGGCCTTAGGAAGACAAGGAACATCAAATACACATCAATAACAATGAATAAAATTGATCCTTACTCAGTGAGTGATGTATTGTGCATTCAGTGAGGCAAAGGAACCGAGAGGTAAAATGCCATCCAAGAATTGTTAGCATTATCTTAATCTGTATTTCTTGTTTCTAGGTAGTGTTTTTATGTGGGTTCTTGAGTGCTTTAATTCTTGAAAATATTTATATGCAGTGCTTTAGTCCCTTTTTTATTTCTTTTTGCATACGTAGAACTTTGTCTATTTAAAATTTAAAGTACGATGATGTCAGTTTTTTAAGTAGCTAAGTATTTTTATAATATCAAATTAATGTAACAAAGGCAATACTTCAGTTATTCTAGTACCTTTGAAACTACTTACTTGAAATAAAATCCAGGAGTTTTTGCTACTTAACTATATGTAAATTAAACCATGTTATACTCAATTAGAAGTGACTGAGGTTGCTCCTGCACACTGAATGTACATAGGACTTCTGTGCTTCCTCTTCACCACTGCTGTGTAAAGACCCCATGAGAGAGTAACTGCACGTACAGGAACATGGTGTGTCCCAAGGAAACAAGAGTGCAGGGAGACTCTTGCCCTTTAGGGTTTGTCAGTGAAACTCTGCTCTCAAGTCTGGTTGCAGACTTTTTATTTCAAGCAGAAATTTTATTTCAAGTAAGTGGAAACAAGCCATCTGACTTCCAATTAATGTCTTTTAACATTGTGTGAGTCTGTTCACCTCTTGCTCGTGAAGAAATGTGTGTGATACAGGGAGCATAATAAATTGAATTTAAGAATCAGCACATTCTGTGCAGGCTGATGTGGTATTGGTGATTAGCAGGGTTCTAGACACGTACTTTTAGTACCATTTGAGTGATGGGATTAAAATTGAAGAAACGATTAATCTGAAGTTAATAAAAAGTTAATAAAATGTTAATAAAGTTAATAATTTATTTACATTCATTTTGAATAATAGATGCTGTATTTAAAAGAAAACCTCTGTTTTCTATTACTTCTGAAATTTTCACTATTACAGGTGTTCTAAACATGCTAACTTATATGTCCTTTGGCTTGTGGTCGATGCAAGGGAATGAAATCCAACCAAAATCTGTTTTAATTGCTGTTAATATTTCTAAATTATTTTGTTTAAAAAAACACCATCTTGCATCATAAGTGACTACTGCAGTTGCAAAAACTTCAGAAGTTTCTAAAAACCTTTTTATTATTTGCTTGTAAATATTTATTGTCAAACTGTAATGTTTCTTAATAACTTCCGCTGAAGTGGGAATTAACTGTCTGTTTAAAGCAGATAATTATTTCCATATGCTCTTTGCTCCTCAGGAGGAGTGCAGGCAGGTACAAAAGAAAGGGAGCATTCTAATTTCTTCTAATCCAGATACTGCTCTGACTAATGTAAATTGACACGTAGACAATAACTGGGGTCTGGAGGGAAATCTGCTGTGAAAGGTAAATCATGGCAGGTGCTTAGGGGGCTTGGGTGAGCAGGCACACGGACAAGGGTTTGAGGCATGCACAAGAGATTTTTTTTATCCTGTGTTTTTTGGGTTGCAGCATGAAAGAAGGCAAGCTACCTTGATAACTTTGGGGTAATGATTTGTATTGAAATGACTTGCAGTTCTTTTTTAGTATTGTATGAATAACAGTATTTTTTTCTTATTTTATGCAGAATCAGATTCAGTACCTCAAGCAAGTCCAGCAGCCTAGTGTTGCCCAACTGCGATCAACAATGGTGGACCCAGCCATCAACTTGTTTTTCCTAAAAATGAAAGGTGAACTGGAACAGACTAAAGACAAACTGGAACAAGCCCAAAATGAACTGAGTGCCTGGAAATTTACGCCTGATAGGTAAACAAAACAAATACTCCCCAGTCAAGACTTCCCTGACAGTCCCACTACGAGAATGCTATGGTGGGACAGCCAAGTACTCGTTTCCACACCAAGACTCAGACGTTTTGAGGCAAAAGCCACATTCTTATACTGTCCAGCTTGTAATGCTTAATGTAAAACTTACCAGGTGAACCTTGTGTTTCAGCTTTTTTCTCCCCTTTGCTTCAGAGGCCTGACAGCGTCGGACTATTCTGAAGAAATGGCCATCTTCGAAAAAAATCTTTTCTAGAACATGTAGACATTTGCAAAATTGTTCTATTTGAAGAAAATAGAGGGAGAAACAGAAGTCTTAAGTCTGTGGCACACTGTGTCTACAGACAGTTTGGAGGAGAGAGAACCTAGAGATTATAAATCATGAATTGAACATGTAAAATTCCCGTAAAATGTAGAAGTGGAATATGCTTCGCTCTTAACCTTGAGCCTAGTGACTTAGAGACACTGTAAGTCAGTTTTGCCAATAAGACTGTGGACTTCCTGCTTGTTCACTGAACTGCTGGGTCAAAACTCGATGAGGTGAATTTTGCATTAAAGAGTTTACTTGCTAACCAGTTTTGAATAGCCACAAGAGTGCTATTTGATATCACAACAGTGGTAGTGTACACATTTGACTGTTTAGCCTTTGGGCTCTAGCACTTGATGCAGCCTTAAGTCACTGTTGCTAAATAATGAACTGTTTTCTGGATGGTTGGTAATATTGTGGACGCCTCAAAATTAGAGCTGTACAAAAATGTACGTTCCATCTAAATGCAGGTTTAAAATTGTCTGAAGCAACATACATTTGATCACAACTAGCATGTATAAGAAAAACTGGTTGTGATAAGAATTTCACTGCATGTTTTCATGCAGAAATGAGAATTTTTCGATCTTCATACTAAGAACTGATCTCAAATGCTTAATACAGAAGGCACAAGATGGCAACTGTCTTCAGTGTTGGTGGGGTGTTTTTATTCCGTTGTACACCTGGGTTTTTTTGTATTGTGCTTCTCTATAAAATGTGCCTTGAAATAGTTGTAATACGTAGTTCAAGGAACACTTCTGGATATGCTGTTGTATTATGAAACTCCTGGGATGAACGAGAATTGAACAGGTTGTTATTTCTGCATTGTCTCGTTCGCTGCAAACGAAGTCAGTATTTTAACAAACCAAGAAAACCTTAAATGCATGCATTTTTGTTGGTGGATTCAGTGAAGGAGTTTTTGCTGCTCTATTGATGCCTCTGTTCTGTTGTCCCAAGTTACTTGTAAGAGTGGCAATCTGGGACAGTTGGGAGTGCACCTCTGAGGTCTGTAAAGCAAAATGTAGATTTGGTGTAGCATTTGTGTGTTTGTTTTCTCCCGTAGCAAATAGAGGTCTATTTAGTAATCGGAGGTTTTAATTTTTCAAAACAGTTGGGCAACGTTTTATGACTCAGTTTAAAAAAATTAATTTTTAAATTAAAAAGACACTCAGCTGTCACAGAAGGTGATGTATTCTAATTGTTTTGGTGACTTTTATTAAGATGCCGTAACATAATTTTGATTTGGAAGTATCTTTAACTGTTTGTGCTTCAGGTGATTAATATGGGATCAAAGAGTAGTATACTTATGCAGGTTTATTTTTTTTTGCATGAGTAATGACTTAACAGCAAAAAGAAAAATCCACAGAAAAATTTTACCTTTTTAAAAGTGATACATCCGGAATGATTTTGCTATAGCAGTATCTAAGATTTTATTGATCTAGCATCAAAACAGAGGTAAGACTTCTATTAATAAATCGTTAATGTGTTACCAAGGCATTTGTAAAGCTTGCTATAATGTGTTGAAAGAGGCATGCCATGCAGATTGCTTATTTCTAGCTTGGAGTTCAGAAAATTATTTAACACATTTAGATACAGGTTGATGGTTTTCTAAAGTCCTCAGGCTCTGAATGTGTGAGTACAGCTGAGAAGAGATGAGTAACTTGCTACTTCCTTTCAAACCCAAGTGTCAAAAGAAAATGTTATTTCTGTAGCTGCAACATACCCTAATTTACATTATACAATTTTAAGTCAGTGGTGTGAATGTGCATAATTCATACATGCAGTGGCTGGAATATAGAAAGTTGTAGTTATTTCCTGGTAAATTATTGAGGCTTTGTTAAATGGGTTAAGATTTTACTGCTTTTCATTTCTTGAAAGGTGAAGTAATAGGCTCATGTAAAATATTTGTAGGTGTTTTTTTATTCTCTTTGCATCTTGCCCCTCTTCCCCTTAATTGCTTTAATTGTCCATCCTTGTACACAGCTACTCATTTCATGACATCTGGCCTGGTTTTTGGAAGAGGCAATGGCCCTATTCAGATCCTAAACTGATGTCCTTGGGGTGGATAACATGTTAACTGCAGCCCTAAGCAGAGTTAGTTCCAGACCTTAGTGTAGATAAGGCTGTGCAGCATAAACATTGCTGATGTCTGAAGGGGGAAATGAAAGGGCATGTAATCAAAGGAATGGTTATGCTAAGCCATTTTAACCATCATTAAGCAGAGTATAGATATGGAAAAAAATTAGTTGAAATGTCATTTTGCAGTAAGCCTAGTACAACAAACTTTAGTCTTCTGAAATTTAACCACTTATATTCTTACAGGTTTTGTTGCATGTATGTTCAAGAGGATTTGTGAAAACAATGCTGAACTTAGTTTTACAGTTCACAGGAATTATTTTAATAGTTAAAGGATTTAATGTTCTTGAATATATTGTCCTTTTTGTAAATTGCAAGGGTTATTCTCTGCTAGTTCAGAACATCTGGAAAAATTCTGATGGGAAGAAATAGCATTATAGGTAACTATGCAAATTTCTATACAGGTAATAAATATTTTACATTTTGGCAGGAGTTAACCTGAAGATATTAATGGGATTCTAAATTTGTCCCAATTCCAAGGTAACTGGTACTTCCTGATTCTGCAGTTGATGTTGGTTTGTGAAGAGAAAAACATTAAATGACTTAAGCATTGTAAACTTTTTCTACTTGCAGTAATGATGAATACAGTAACAGGAATTTGCCAATGGCTAAAAATCATGTCTGCCTAATAACTTTTGGGATCTGTCACATTGGTTATCTCCAAAGTGGTCCTGCTTTGCACAGAATGAACATCTCTAAGGAAACTTGCATCTTAAATGTGCGACTTGGACTGTATTAGGTCGGCACAATTTAAACTTCAAGGACCTGGCATTGGACATCACATCAAGAAAGAAAACAGGCTGCTGCTTTTAGCAGATTTTCAGGCCTCCAGGACTTTACACAGCCAGATTCCTTCTGGAGCAGCCCATCTGAAAGATTTGGGAAAGTCAGTTGAAAAATGTTAAATGGGGCAGAGTTGGCAGAGAACTTAAAAGATGTTCTAAGACTTGAGTGCTCAGAAGGTAGTTGATAAGGAAATTGCTGTTTTAAATTCTTCTGGTTGGGTATTTTGGTTGCAGGAGAGAACTGTGGCTGTGATTGTAGCAGAAATTTCCTGTTCTATTTTTTTAATCCTCAGTTTCTTTTCAGTATTTGTCACTTGTTTAAAAGCATATAAAAAATTAAATGACCTTCTTGGTCTTGAAAAGTAACGCAAGTCTTGCTATTGAATTCACAATAAAACTGTTTAAGTTTGGGGGTTTTGGCAGAGCTTACACTTCTATAGAAAAGATGGACAGCTTCATTATGGTGCTGAGCCTATTAAAAGAACTGTTTGGGGATGCTATCCTGACCTGGCAGACTAAGAGTCCTAAAGGACTTTAATTTTTCTTTCATGGAGTCAGCTGTATTGCCTATATATTAATTTGCATACTACTTCCTATAATGCTTTACAATGAGATTTTTATCATGAAGATTAAAGATGTGTAATGTTACCAATTTAGTAAAGAAAGTCTTGTCAGTTCCTACCTGTTTCACATTTCTTTTAGAAACTGAATGTCCTGATGATCATTATTTACAATCTGAAATCTGTCATTTTAAAGGAAGTAAATAATATACCCCTTCCTTGATGTCCTTCCAATGTTCAGCTACACTTGCATTCCTCTTCATACAAGATGTACTTAAGAGATGCTGACCATAGAAATCATGAAGCAGACTCTGCATGTGACTGTCAAACATACAAGTAGCATTGAAAAATAGACACCTCATTTTTTAAACAAGAGTACCAGGACAGCATTTAAATAAATGCTTAAACCTTTTAAGGAAAAATGGTTGTCAATATGAAAAATGAACATGAGATTTATTATTTCCCCCAAGCAACTTCCTTCACCCAAATTCAGCTATTGCATTTCATTAGTGCAACAAATGGGGAATGATTGTGCTTATAATTTGCTCATGTAGTTTCTGTGCAGTCCTTGATCTTTTGAATTGCAAAACACATCTTTAATCAAATATTTAACTCCGTTAAGAATTGGCACATGCAAGATTGTGCATACTGATAATCCAGATGTTGGTATCAAAAAAGTACAATATGCTTATTCATATTTTCAGTAATAAAACTTGCCTTCCACTTTGTGGGACAGCGACTGAAGATCAACTGGCGTTGGAACAGCACGTGGTAACTATAGGGAGACTTTCTGCTATGACAATTATGTTGAAGCATAATGTTCCTTGAATTGTGACATGCAGAAATTGCATCTCCTTTTTGTCTGTAATTGTGATTGAGGAAGATAACTAAAGGTTTTATATTCATTTTGTGATAGATGGCTCTTTCCTTTGCAGCCAAACAGGGAAAAAGTTAATGGCGAAGTGTCGAATGCTTATCCAGGAGAATCAAGAGCTTGGAAGGCAGCTGTCCCAAGGCCGTATTGCACAGCTTGAGGCAGAATTGGCTTTACAGAAGAAATATAGTGAGGAACTTAAAAGCAGTCAGGATGGTAAGGGATTTTTTAACAAAAATAGAAGTTGCTTTGCACTTCTGCAAGTTTAATTTTGTGATGATATACATAATGCAAAACAATCTTTGTTAGAATGAAAGGGCTGTACTGAGCAGTCGTAAGTATTAACTGGTAGTCTTAGTTAAAAACAAACAAAATCCTTAAGTTTGGGGGAACTGGTGGGATCCTCAGCTCTACTAATGCAATGTTTGAAATAGAGATATTTACTGTAAATCTTGCTACTTAATTGGAAATGTTTAGACTGCACACTACTGGTGAATTGGCAAGATGAAAGCTGTTAACATTACATGAGGCCTAGGCATGCACTGAGAACAGCTTTCTGTTAACTGACTCATTTGGAATTTATTTTAAAAAATCACCAACTTTTCAACAATACCTAAGAATATGAAAAACTGATGATTTTTTTCCCCTTTAACTCAGATGAATGAAAATGTCTCATCATGTTCACAGTCTAAATTTTGTGACACTGAAAACCTAAATTGAAATTATCTAAAAACTCTGACCTCTTGCATAATTTAAATGGAGGAGAAAATGCAGGTTTAAAGGTCTTCAGTCTTGCATCCTGTGTAGTGTCAGTGGCTCTTCACAGAATGTTAAATTAGGTTTTCTGAAGTTTGGGGATATAACCTATCTAGTCAGCACATAGACCTGAGTATCTTTTTTTGTTTAATATCTGAAGATTGTAAGATACCAGCAACTTGATATGGCATCACATCTAAGTCTGAGATGTCCTGCATTTTGAAGGCTAGATCTTCCCCAATCATATTTTGATCTCTTGGAGAAAATAGCAGTATAAAATAACTAGAACTCTTAAGGTAAATGATTGTATAATGTCATTTTCTAGGAGTAGTAAGTACTGTTTTGTAACACACTTCAACAAAATTTACCAAGTACATAATTGAAGCAAGTGTAGACATTCTTTAAAGACTGCTGCTTTTGAATGTGGTCATTACCAGCATTGAGTTGCTTCTTCCCCATAGATGAATCAAGATGATATTCCTGCAATAACAGTTTTCCTAATGATTGTTCTCCATAGCAGCAAGAACACTTTTTAAAATTATTTTTACAATAGTAAGCACTTTGCATTTTATTTTCTCTGTCATACTGATGTTGCAGTTGAATTGAAGACTGAGTCAGTGTTTCTTACACTGTTACGAGGCCGATTTGTTTTGTTCCAGAATGCAGTACTAATTGTAAAAACCTTTTTCTGGTACATAAATAGTAAAACACCTCGTGTAATTAGTTAACACTCTTGTTGGTAAGAAGGTCTTTTTGTGTCCTCTCTTGAAGGATTTAAAGGCTCAAACACATTAAGAATTGAAACTTCCTTGAAATATGATGAAAAAATAATGCTTATGGCTGCTGAATAGGATTTTGTAGTTAATCAGATCTGTTATGTATAGATATGGTTCATGGTCACTTTTACAGTATTTCTGCTGGGGATTTATACTTGAATAAAAGTAGACACATTAGTATCTGCTTGCAAAATATTAATTGTTTTCATTGAGCTTTTTTCTGAATATCTTGCTTTCTTGCCCAGAAATTAAATTTTTCTCACATATTTTCAATAGTATAGAAAATAAGTAGATACCACAGTTGTTAAGCATTTTCTCCTTCAGAGGCAGAGTATCAAAACCAGTGCATACCTGAGGGCTGAGAAATAGTTCATTGAAAAATTTCAGCATAAAATGTTGAGTTATGGGATTTTAATTTTTTGTCTGAGATTGAAGCTGTATATGGGCTATTAAGTGTTTGCAACAAATGTGTTTTCTTTACATAGAATTGAATGACTTCATCATCCAGCTTGATGAGGAGGTAGAGGGTATGCAGAGTACCATTCTAGTTCTTCAGCAGCAGTTGAAGGAGACTCGCCAGCAGTTGGCACAGTACCAGCAGCAGCAGTCCCAGGCCTCCAACCCAGGTACCAGCAGGACTCCATCCTCTGAGCCCACGGAGCAGGGAGAGGCCGTGGGCAAAGACTGCAGCCGCCTGGCAAACGGACCAAGCAATGGCAGCTCCTCCCATCAGCGGACGTCTGGGCCTGGATTTTATAGGGAGGGTAGCGGCACGGAGGATGACTTCCCAGCTTCTCCAGGGAATGGTAATAAGCTGGCCAACCACTCTGAAGATAGAACTGGTAGAGGAAGTGGTAGCTACATAAACCAGCTCAGTACTGGGTATGAAAGTGTAGACTCTCCCACTGGCAGTGAAAACTCTCTCACTCACCACTCAAATGACACAGACTCCAATCATGATCCTCAAGAGGAGAAAACAGTGAGCATGAAAGGTAACAGAACTGTGGGTTCTCGTCATGTCCAGAATGGTTTGGACTCCAGTGTAAATGTGCAGGGTTCAGTTTTGTAACATTTTTCTGCAAAATTTTTATACAGTGTCATTGAAATTGGGAGAGGATACTGTCCAGGAGCCGTTTAAATTAGTGCATACTTGTCACAATTTTGCCTTTTTGTGGGTTTCTTTTTGCTTCAATACCTCTGCCACTTTGGAAATTTTAACAGTTAATTACGTTGAATGTTGCTAAAAGGACGTTTGTGTAGCTCAAGTTATTTTTATATGAGTTAATGTGAAGTTGAAATGGAAACTATTTCCATAAAGTATAACATAAATGATGTCTGTACAAATCTGTGTATATCTAGAACCTGTGCTGTGTAAGGGCATTCTTACTCATACTGTTATACTTAACACCACCTTTGAGATTTGTCATAATAGCTGTGGGTTTATGACTGCCAAGTTTGCCCAGTACAGTAGTTTTATCACTAAAAAGATGGACTTGCTGAAGGAGTCCTGTAGTAGTTTCAGTGTTAATTACAGTTTTTCCCACCATACATCTGTGCATTTTCTCCTTAGGTGACCGAATGTTTATGAATTGTGTGCATAGTTACTCAGTTTTAAAGAACTGTTGTATCCTGTTGATGCATATTGCTCTGTGACTCCAATATTATCTTACCTGTACTGACCAAACCTAAATAAAAACTTTTAATAATGTAATTTCCTCATTGTTCTGCATTCGCTTCCGTGGTTTACTTGTACGTGGTGTTTTTATAGTCCTTGCTTTTGAATTGAATTTTGAATTTGTATCTGTGTCAATCATATCTGATACAGTGTATGCCAGATACATGAAGCTTTAGGTGTGTGCTAGTGCTAATTTCGGACAGCCTGATACTGTTTGTTCCACAGGTTTTGTCCTTACTGGCAGAAAAAGGGTGGGGGTGGTGGGGAGGTGGAAAGGAGAAGTTAATGGAAGTAAACTTTAGAGTTTGAACCTGGTTTTATTAACAATTATAAAAAACCCCCCCAAAAAAACCCAAATGCAAAAGCTTGAAGTACCTAACAGCACAAATTAAACTAAAAAAAATGAAGGAATTAGCAATTCAGCCTTTTGAACTGGGTAATTTTGTTTTTAAATGCCTGCCTGAGGAAACTGATTTCTTAACAGGTGCAGAGAATGACAGAATTCCCTTTAATTAAACATACTTTTATTGCTCAGCAATGAGCTATGAATTTCAGAACCTGGATTTCTGGTGTTCATTTTCCATCTATTAGTTTAGTGTTGGTAGCACATGAGCAAGAAGATGAAAATGCACTGTTCAAGGTAAGACAGAAGTACTTAGTGGTTTATTTTAGGGTGGGGTTAAGTGTAGTTTCAACCTTTTTTCTACCTGTGAGTCTTGTAATTACCAGACAACTAATAAAATGAATGCATATGTAGCTACTAAGTAAGAAATAGCTTTACTGTTTTGCAATTCACTGTGGAAACAAGACTTGTTTGAAAGAAGTATTTCTCAAAAGTTCTAGAGCACTCTGTTGAAATTCACAGTTGCAGTAAATTCTTAGGTTACAGAAAGATGTCTGTGGTAGCATTTTTAAGTGGTGTAAATTAGTGTCTTGCAGTCCAAGAGAAATGGATGTAATTAAAATGCTACCCAGGTACACTTGTCTGTATTAGAAACATGCTAGTCCATAGCAGCCCACCACTGCTATTTTAATTTCATAGGGTTCACATCAATGTTCTAAATCAATTGGGTAGTGGTCACTGGAAGTATAAATTCCACTGCTGATACCCCGTTGCTTTTTGAATGTTGCTTCAGGCCTGATTGCCTGAAAAATAACAGTAAATGCATGAAAGGGAAGCAACAAATATCTATACAGAAATGGTACTGACATCTGGCACCCAAAAGAATTTTTAGATGACAGAGGTCCCTGATGATGAATTTTATTTGATCTTGGCATCATACTGCTTGCTCATGTAGCATATATATATATGTACATCCTGGGTCCTGTACATGGTAAAATGTACATTTTAAGAAGCTTCAAATGCTTATAACACAATATAGTAATCGGGCTTTATGTGATCAGATGGTAAAGAGCCTTGTGAGGAAATCTGTGGTTAAAAAAAAAGGCATAGCTCTCAGGTGGTGACGAATTTATTTAAATCAGTCAGGTATTACAGGACATTCGTGACTTTAAAATCATCTTTATAGGAGGTTTTGATTTTCTCAAGAGTAACAAATAGTAATAATAAATGTTAAAAAAAAAATCAGAAATACAGTATATACCATTAGACTTCAAGTTAACTTGTTGAAAAAAAAGTTGTGTAAGACAAGCCATTCCCTTTGTCATCCTCTGCTTAGAAGGTATCTTCTAAATAAGCAAGCTGGGGTTCTTTGTGTGATGTTTTTCCAAAATGAAAGCAACCCAGCAACTGTGCCAGTTAATAATAAAATTAGTAATATAATTACATAATTGACTTGCTTTCATGGAACACTTGCTACAAGCATTAGTGAACTGCAGTGTAATTACTACATATATGAATGCTAAAGCCTGTAATATTCATGGTTTTGCCTGGCTATTGGTGCCTGGATTACGACATTTAATCATCCTGAATGTAGTTGGTTCATTTTAACAAAAAATGACATTTTATTGATCCAATAAACACAACATATTCCTCTTTAAAATTAGATCGAACCTGTATCTTACTGTATGTATTTTCAGTAGTCAGGGACCAAGAAACAGCTTGCTGATTTTGGACAATTTGCCTTATATCTACCGTGAAAGCAGCTATTTTCACTGCTCAGATTCCTCCAAGAGCGCTTTAATAACGATTACAAAAAAAACCAAAAAACAACCCAAAAGCTTGACATACCAAACAGGTAAATGCACAAATTAAACTAAGAGAAACCGAATTATTGTCCTTTTCTAGGATGCCTCGAGAAGTGAGGGATGGAAGCTCTGTGTCTTCCATTGGGCTGGGATTCCCTGTGTGGGTCGTTCCCGGTGGATTTCTTTGCGACTGGCAAGATGAGGTTATTTATTCTCAATAAAATTGTTCAGGCTTAGCCTCCACTGCATTTTTGTAATTTGAGGTTTTTATAGTCTGGCAAATGTGGGTGCTGTAGGATCTTAACGTTATATGTATTTATTTAAAAAGACAAAATACAAAAGATCGAAGGTTTTGCGGTGGCAGAGATTAATTCCGTACAATTTTAATTTTACCTAACGTTTGTCTTGTGTGCAGACTGCCTTCTAACTCTGAGGGATGAGCTTCTCCTCCCTGACCTCGGTTGAGAGCCAGTTTTTAACTTTAGGCTCGTTTGCATAAGCATTACCCATTATTTTAGCTGAGGGGGTTAAGGTAATTGGGTAAAGGATTTTCATGAGCACCACAGGCCGCTGAATTGCTGCGTGCAGGAAAGCAGCTGTTAGTGAAAACAAGATACCCAAAAACTGGGTAAAAGAACAGAAGTGAACCAACAAAAGTAAGTCGTAGACAAAAAAGCCGAAACGGTGGCGTTAGCGCTGCCGGTGCCGTCACTAACCTGCCGGAACGTGTATTGCCGCGGCAGGTTTGCAAAGCGCTGTGCTGCTCTACCCTCCCGGGGCCACAGGCACCGGGCCGCATTTTATCGGGCCTGAGGTTTAAGATAACGAGTCTAGGAGCGGGTCCGTTCGTAACGACGAGCTACTCTCATTGCTAAGAATTGCTATTTGCCCGAATTCGAAGGACGGGGGTGGCCGCGGGGTGTGTCACCTGCGGCTCGGCCGAGCTCAGCCCCCGCGGCTGGGGCGGAGGG